AAGGGGTTGTATTCGTGATGCAGTGATGGTTGTTGGAAACACCTAATGGGTTGTATTCGCGATGCAGTGATGATTGTTGGAAACACCTAAAGGGTTGTATTCGTGATGCAGTGATGGTTGTTGCAAACACCTAATGAGTTGTATTCGTGATGCAGTGATGGTTGTTCGAAACACCTAATGGGTTGTATTTGTGATGCAGTGATGGTTGTTTGAAACACCTTCTGGGTTATATTCGTGATGCAGTGATGGTTGTTGGAAACACCTAAATTGTTGCATTCGTGATGCAGTGATAGTTGTTGGAAACAACTAATGGGTTGCATTCGTGATGCAGTGATGGTTGTTGCAAACACCTAATGGGTTGTATTCGTGATGCAGTGATGGTTGTTGGAAACACCTTATAGGGTATATTCGTGATGCATTGATGGTTGTCAAAAACACCTAATGGGTTATATTTGTGATGCAGTAATGGTAGTCGGAAGCACATACTGGGTTATATTCGTGATGCAGTGATGGTTGTTGGAAACACCTAATGGGTTGTATTCGAGATGCAGTGATGGTTGTTTGAAACACCTAAGGGGTTATATTCGTGGTGCAGTTATGGTTGTTTGAAACACCTAATTTGTTATATTCGTGATGCGGTGATGGTTGTTTGAAACACCGTTTATGGTATATTCGTGATGCATTGATGGTTGTCAAAAACACCTAATGGGTTGTATTTGTGATGCATTGATGTTTGTCGGAAGCACCTAATGGGTTGTATTCGTGATGCAGTGATATTTGTTGGAAACACTTAATGGGTTATATTCGTGATGCAGTGATGTTTGTTGGAAACACCGTATATGGTTTATTCGTTATGCATTGGGGGTTGTCAAAAACACCTAATGGGTTGTATTTGTGATGCATTGATGTTTGTCGGAAGGACCTAATGGGTTGTATTCGTGATGCAGTGATTGTTGTTTGAAACACCTAATGGGTTGTATTCGTGATGCAGTGATGGTTGTTGGGTTGTATTCGTGATGCAATGATGGTTGTTGGGTTGTATTCGTGATGCAATTATGGTTGTTGGGTTGTATTCGTGATGCAATGATGGTTGTTGGGTTGTATTCGTGATGCAATGATGGTTGTTGGGTTGTATTCATGTTGCATTTGGGGTTCGAATACATCGTGCCAATGTACATCGAGTGTTTAAACTAGAAAGATTAACGTGCATGGTTATGTCTCATCTATGATCAACATAGCCATGTATATATTCTCCATTCCTGATTTCAATTTTAATACTGTGATGCGTTTGATGAATTGTAAATACAGGTGAGTAAATTACCCTGTTTCAAATGGCGCCTGTAATGGATGTGTGCACCAGTTTCGGAACACTCAGTCATCACCAGTCGTATGCGGAAATATTTTTTTGTGAGCAGACAGGTGCGAATTGCGGTGACCTGGATTTTACTGATTTTTATACACAGCTCACATCTCAACATGAGGCAACTGATCAGTGGGCTATTGTTTTCCTGTGTCCTGTTTAGCTCTGAATTCCATGACTGTCAACTAGCCAAAGGTAAGCATATGCATTAAGTGTATTTTTTCTACAGTAATGAATAACACAAAGAAAGGGTTAAGATCATCTCTCACATCCAGGATTCTGCAGGTCACGTTGAATGAACACACGGCATGGTGGGCCTCGGGGTGTGCTTGCTGTTTTGTTATCTTATAAAGCTACCATAACAAGATCACTAAAATAGTGGGTATTTAGGCTTCAGTTAGTTCAAGAGTTCATTGCTGCACATACAGATATTGTAACTGGCAAACTGTGAAATAATTCAAGTTTTCTGGTTTCCACTTTATTCATTTAACACACAGTATGAATTTTCAATGCAAAAGACATCATGAAAAGAATATAAGATAAACAGCATGTAAAACAAGTGACGTAGCCTTCCTTAGACTTGAGCCATTCGACATCTGCCAAGTGTTCCCCACAGAGGGAGAAGGATCAATCATTTACCATAGTACCTCTACTATCAATCATTTACCATAGTACCTCTACTATCAATCATTTACCATAGTACCTCTACTATCAATCATTGACCATAGTATCTCTACTATCAATCACTGACCATAGTACCTCTACTATCAATCATTTACCATAGTACCTCTACTATCAATCATTTACCATAGTACCTCTACTATCAATCATTTACCATAGTACCTCTACTATCAATCATTGACCATAGTACCTCTACTATCAATCACTGACCATAGTACCTCTACTATCAATCATTTACCATAGTACCTCTACTATCAATCATTTACCATAGTACTTCTACTATCAATCATTGACCATAGTACCTCTACTATCAATCATTTACCATAGTACCTCTACTATCAATCATTTACCATAGTACCTCTACCTGTAGGTGTAGGGTTGAACTGAATGTGTTTGGCCTTTCACAAAGATTTTCCAATGTATAATGCTGTATGCACTGGGGAAAATGTTTTGGAATTGTTCTGAACCGATGTGATGTTTAGAGACACGCGACTAAGGCAAAAGGCCAGAGGAAATTTAACACGGCTGTCTGTGAGTGTATATCGCTAAGCATAGCCGAAAAGGACTGCTTATTGATTATAGTTTCATGAAGTTGCATGTCATATCCCGTTTAACATAGGCACACAAGAAACTGCACCTGATAAGACAAATTGAAGAACATTACAGATAATTCTTTCATTGTACAATGGGAAAATACATGAAAATGCTCTCCTTATTATTAATGCATTGAAACATGATGCTGACAAGCAAACCATGTGTTGATTCTCTGCTCAAAAACTAAAGAGTCATCGTGGACTCAGTCTATATAAGAATCAGGTGGGAAACTGACATGCTGCAGAGAAATATAATGTGATGTAATGAACCATAGGAGTCAATTAAAACAATACAAATCACACAATGGAAGTACAAATTAGAGTGGCAGCTGGTTTAAAAATACAAGATCAGTAATAACAATAAAGAAAGTGATGATAATATTCACCTTAGCAACACTACTCCAACAGTAGGTATAGGCAGGGGATAATGGTCATCACACGCCAGCCTGGTCTTCTGGTAACTTGCTGTCTTGTTAGATGAGGTGCAAGAATTACCTTCCCTTATATACCTAAGAAATGAGGATAGAAAAGTCAAAAATACGCTCTATGATGGTTCTGGAATCAGCTCCTTGTTGCACTTTCCAGGCCGTTTTTTTCCTTTTTTCTTAATCTAGTACTGGTATAAATATAGACACTGTCCCTCACAGAATTTCATATGGACAATGCATTACTCTTGGAACATTGTTGCACAATGAACATCACTTTGCTTGAGAGAGAGAGAGAGAATGTGTCAGAGGGTCAGAGGGAGGAAGGGACAGAGAGAGAAAACGAGAAAAAGTGAGAGAGAGAAAGAGTGTGTGTGTTTGAGAGAGAGAGAAAGAGAGAGAGAGAGAGAGAGAGAGAGAGAGAGAGAGAGAGAGAGAGAGAGAGAGAGAGAAATGGGTACGTGAAACAGAGATATTGTTTCGAATATTTCATCCTAAATGCAAACGCACATTTCACTGTATTATCGGTGCACATGTAATATGTTACGTGCCCCAATTATACTTTCGAAGGGACGGTGGGGAAGCCTAGTGGTCGAAGTGTTTGCTCTTCACGCCTCAGACCTGGGTTCGCTTCCTCACATGATACAATGAATGAAGCCAATTTATGGTGTCCCCCGCCGTGACATTGCGTAAATAATGCGTATAGCCATATCAATCACTCGTTATACTTTCGAATATCTAATTAGCATGATGTTCTATACTTTTTATCACATACGTGAGGCTGGAAATGCCATCGAAACAACGCGGCACGGAGCAGTATCCCAAGTATATGGCAGTGATCCGTATATGATCCAGTCATCAAAAGACAATCCAGAGAATTACATCATGAGCACAGATATCAGAAATCGATTACTAATGTGTCAACCAAATCAGCCTGTTTGAACTCCCGATCCGGATAATCGCCTCTTATGACAACAGTGGGTTGCAGAGGATCATTTCTATGTGATGTTCATGGGTCGAGAGAGATATGATACAACATGATATGATGTGATATACGATATGATGTGATATACGATACGATATATGATATGAAAGGTGATATAATAATGATATGATATGAAAGGTTATATGAAGTTCAGAAATTAGTATGAGAATAGAATCATGTAAACTAGTCTGACTTCATTTTCCAAAGCGCTGATATACATGATTTGAAAACAGTGTGCGAAATATCCACTGGCCCACTAGCCCGTGGCTAGTAAGAATCCAGTCGCATCAGTAATTTCCACAATCAGTAGCCAGACTGGCTAGTGAATTTCCATGGGGTCATTTTGTAAATATACATTTGTTTTTTATTTTATTTATCTTTTTGTAATCTTGGTTTAGTTTCTGCATTCAGATTTGGACCTAGTGACTTATGTTGTGGACTAGTAACCTCTCAGGCATAGCCTGCCCGATTGGCTAGCAAAATTTGGAAACAATTTCGCACCCTGTTTGGAAACAATGTGTTTTCGGTTTCAGCGGCTGTGATAACAGCTCCTCTGGGAGGAACGGTGACGTTAACCTGGAAACGTCCGGCCCGCCTACAGCAGTACACAGTCAGGAACACAGAGTGGAAGGAAGATATATTCTATATCTCCAAGTCTGGTGGGGTCAGGGTTGTCCATCCTGCCTACAAGGACAGAACACGGAACATATCCTCAAGTAAAGAAGGGGTCAGTGTGGTACTTCATGGGGTCAAGTGGACACACTCTGGACGTTATAAGTGTTTCAGGGGGTCGCCAGAAAGGAGACCCCGCGTTTCTATCAATCAATGTGGCCTGAGACTCGTCGTCATCGGTAGGCAAAACATACATGAAGCATGCAACTTTATGGATAACAACTTCTTGTTCATAGCATAGAGCGACTTGTCGATCTCGATTCTTACACCGTTATCAAGCTCTATGCAATAAACAAGAAGTTGTCACCCATAAACTTGAATGCTTCATTTTGTACTCACCAACTTCTAAGATAGAATGCAGATGAAACAATTAGGCAATACATGTCTGCAAAGTAAACTGATTGACAAATGAAGCATATTCTTGTGTTTGATGCGGAGAACACAACACAAACAAGAAATTGTGATGTATTCAATGTGGTGCATCCAGTGATTCGAAAACCGTTTTCAGTAACATGTTGATAGTTTCCCCGATATTCTTTTGATAACGATTGCATATTTTAAGTGGGATCTTTCAAGTGAATACTATATTTTCAGGCATATATATATATGTGTATCATGAATGGTATGATGAAATGACACATCAGCAGTTATAGTAGCATATTGCAAAGTCGCATTTAGCAGTGACGCTGAGTAGGTTGTCTCAACACTTATGTTGCGTAGCAGCAAATCACATGATCACAGTTAACCGCCATCAGTAATGATAACTGTTTGGACACATTTTTACGCCGACTAACACGAAACAAACCAGGAACAGTTGTTCGTAGGTGATGCATGGGATACGGACATAGTTATGATCTGAATCGCAAGGTTGTAGTGTTTCGGCGACTGGTTTCAGTCTAGTAGCGTGTTGATACGTTTGTAAGCTAACGTCAAGTCTTTCAAGTGTGTTCGTTTTGCCGGCGGTTTAGTTGCATTTACATGTAGTCAAGGGTCATTTTTGAGACGCTATAAAATTAAGAATAGAATTGTAATTTTTGCTTAGTTTGAGTTACCCGACTGATTGTCAGTCATAATATGCATTTCTGAATTCATTTACTTGTCAGTATGTTACGTGTGTGCCATACCGGGCCCAATTCGTGTGAATTGGCCAATACTGTTCCCTGGCGTTATCGGCATTATAGTTGTGGATGTATCCTGTCACATATATTTCACAGATGGCGACTATCGGGATCGGTTGGACAGGCTCGCTGACTTGGTTGAAACATGCCATTGTGTCCCATTTGCGTAGATCGATGCTCTTGCTGTTGATCACTGGATTGTTTGTAACCGCCGCTGGAATATTGCTGATTGTGGAGTAAAACTAAACATACTCACTCACTCACTATTTCACAGATGCCCGAGACCCTTATGTTGCGACCACAGATGCATATGATCTGTTTCACAACAACGGCAGGAACTTGTCGTGCATCTTCGTCACCAATGCAACGTCATCGTATCCCGGGGACACCTCCTTCATCTGGAGGAGGAATGGAGTAGAGTTTGACAGCAGCATGGAGCTCCACACGTCAGTCCAGCATGGAGAGACCGGCAGTCAGCTGAGGGTGGTCACCAGTACACTCGCCGTCACATCTGTAGGAGACACGGGGGACAGATTCACGTGCCAAGCTCAATTTGGGAAGGAACATCTTACGGGCCAGAGTGAGGAGTTTGCCCTGAACATGGACTGTAAGTAATAATTTACGCACCTGAGATTCATTGGTTCTCACGTTGCATTCAAGATCGGTTAAAGTTACTGCTTTTCGACCTCTATGCATGGCTATTGCACATTTTCGATTATTTCATTGATAACCGGAAGTCACGGGTTCAGAGCATATAAGCAGTAGCGATATGGTAACTGTTTTGTACCAAACCTCTGTCATGACGTCACTAATCCGGAGACATATGCCGGTTTCGTAATGCAAGCCACCTAAGGTATTGTGTATCAGTTGTAACATAGATCCCCCTCTCCAATACAGCACTGACTCCCAGCAAACCAGTCCGTGTTGCAGTGGGAAGATTCTGCAGTAGTCCTGCTTTGCTTTACTTGACGCTCGATGTCTGATATCTCGTTAATGTATTCTGGATGTTTTAACAAACATCTTCTAACTTTCGTTTGTGTTTGTCTCTGTGAATGCTTAGGCAAAACATGTGTTCTTACTTTACTGCTGTTCCGTTGTTATACCTCTGCCATTTGTAGAATATACTTTTCCACTGTACTGCTATTGATGATGTATTCCTCCCTTAATATATTCCACACAGCCGGTCCAGTTGTCTACACCAACCACGTCGTGCTGAACGAAGGGGGCAAGGCCACATTGACGTGGACGCTGCCGCAGCCCATGAGCCCATTCGTCGTGACGTCCCCGAGTGGTGTAGCTATACTGGATGTCGACTCTGCCAGCATCTTCATCACCTCCCCCTACAGATCCAGGGTGACGGTCGCCGGAGTCCTTACAGCTGATGATTACATGGCAGTGCAGTTGATAGTCCACGGTGTCAGGGGGAATGATGCTGGGCAGTACTCTTGTGAAACTCGGGATAATGGAACTCTCGCTGACTGGGACAACTTCGTGTATGTCTTACGTGAGTTCCTTACATTCCTTACGTATTGTCAGTTTGATTGCCAGTAGAAGATTGCATTTGTCCCCGATACCTTGATATGTCTGAAAATGTTACAATCTCAAGTACCTTCATTTTTCATTATGGTGCAGTTTCCTAACATAGTGAAATCTCCTCAGATGAATTATGTTAATGACATTTTCTGAGATAACTGTTTTGTCTTCCTTTTTATCTGATCAGGCCATTTTCCCCCTGATATTTTTTTTCTCATACAACATCAATTTCTTGGATTAAAAAGAAAGACACATGTTCACATTTTGAAACAGCGACGACATGTTTTGTATTGATGATGTTTAAACGAACAGTGTATTCTGTGTATTTTACACGGATTGCACATGATGGTAATATGGAGAATGAAGGGAATCTAATACTTTCAGGGAAACCCAGGGACCCGACAATTTTAAATGTTCCCGAGAGACAAGGCATGGCGTTATCGTGTTCCTCTGCTTCCCGGTCACTTCCACATAATAGCCCGGAAATGTTGTCCTACAACTGGAGGGGGAACAGCAGCGAGGTAGGCATGGAGGTGTTTCAGAGCCAAGAACCGACCTTCAGCATCAGGACCAGTCCCAGGGATGGAGACCACTACTCATGTCAAGCCACAGAGCAGGGACTTGTGTCACAATGGAGCGAGCCGTTTGTTCTCAGTAAGGATATTCCTGTGATGTGTTCCACAGAATGATATTGCTCTCACTTTTTCCCCAACCATTTGGCCTCTAGTTTCATAAAATAAAACATGCTATTTCACTGAAAATATACAGACGGTTGGGTTTTGGAGTATATGATTATTTTCAAGTGACATTTACTGCACTATCATGGAATCTGCCGTGTGATGCTATAAACATGAATGGGATGGTTTGAATATTTAATAATAATTTGTAATATGCTGTGATCCCGGTTCTGACATGTTCATTGATGATACTACTGGATAATTTTCTTTAATGTCATGAAAAACTTCCTTCCAGAAAAACCCCTAGTTCCAACAATATCCAGTGCAGGGTCTCACCTGCAAGTGATGCTGACTTGTGTCTCCGCCTCAAGGATGTTTCCAGATGCTGAGAGTGAGGAGCTCGTGTACAGATGGCAGCGAAGCGACAGTAGCCTGGAGGGTGGGGAGATGATCGCAGGTGCTACCCTCAACATCAGTTCTGCAAACCAGGGGGGACCAGTACAGATGTCAGGCTGTAGAACAAGGCCTTCACTCAGACTGGAGCGATGCCCATGTTCTGTGTGAGTACCTGTACTGGGGTTATTGGGGTGATGGCTGTTAGTTTCTCTATGTCTGAGGAACAGTGAGTGGGTGGGTGGTCGGGTGGGTGGGTGAGTGAGTGAGTGAGAAATACCCAAGCAATATCATGGCGGAGACACAATATTCGGCGATTCGACCATGGCCCTGCAGCGTGACTAGCAATCGTTTTAGTAGCCAGATTTCCCCACTGCCTAGTATGCAATTGAAATGAAAACCTCATGGCATTTGCCTAGCATTAATCATTTTCTTGACCACATATGGATAAAACGTTATTTGAACAGAAACAACCTACTTCATAGGACACTGTCTAATCTTTCGTCATTTTTAGCAAATGAAACGAAATCGTATCTGTTAGTGAAAGAGTTCAGGTGATAAACTGAGATTCTGTACCTGCATTGTACTCCAGATGAACCAACCATAAAGCGACTGACCCATAACGTCACGCCCAGTACTGACCTGAATCCTGATGACGTGGTGACCTTCACATGTGAGGTGGACGGCACGCCGCCTTTGTATGTGTCCCTCATCAGGTTGTCTAAGGAAGGGAATACAGCACTTGGCAGCACCACAACCTACGCTTCTACGACGGTAGCCTTTAACATCGGAAATCCCAGCCTAGGAGAATACCTGTGTTCAGCGTCCAATGTAGTTGGACATGACGATGGGTCTGCTTCTACTGGCTTCTTGAAGTGTAAGCACCTCATCGTGTGTGAAGTAGCATTTAGTCAAAGTCAGTCATGCTATACTGGAAGATTCACTCTTTTGAAAACAGGCATATACCCTTTAGATCTATTCAAGTGAATTGTCAAGACTGATTCAGATAAGTGACTATGAAAGATGAAGATGAACTAGAAAAGCATCCTGACGAAAGTATATGTCATCTTAATAAGTTCTACGTCAATGCATATATGACCCGTGAAGGTCCGGGTTAGAATATTGATCTTCAGTAACCCATGCTTGTCGTAAGAGGCGACTAACGGGATCGGGTGGTCAGGCTCGCTGACTTGGTTGACACATGTCATCGTATCCCGATTATGCTCGTTGATTATTTAGACTCGATTATTTACAGACCGCCGCCATATAGCTGGAATATTGCTGAGTGCGGCGTAAAACTAACCTCACTTCCTCGCTTATGCATATACCCTACACCTGTCTAAGCCAATACATGTTGTGTCATTTCAGCGAAACTGCGCCGCCAGAATGCAGGAGACATCACGTTGAGGATATATGTTGATGATGCTGTGGGAACATTCTATCTCAGCGGGTATCCGGAACCCAGCAGAACAAGACTATCTTTCTCTCCAGGCGGACTGACTGACATTCACATCTCAAATACCGAGAAGTACCAACTCACAACATCAAATATCGAGGATAACTGGTTCGTGGTTACATTCACCATACACAACGTGGAGGCTAGTGATGAAGGAACGTATACCATCTATGTCGACAATGGGGAAGGCTCTCTAGACGTCAACGTGGAACTGAACTTTTCGGGTGAATATATATGGCATGGTGAAATGTCGTTTTCTGGTTGGCTGAGCGCTATTCTATTACTTTCAATGTACCCCGCTTACAAGCGAGTAACATTTTCTATGTACCCCGCTGGGAATGCCGAACTCATTTGGTAGTTCGTAGTAGTAATTCTTTATCTCGAATAACATTAAATAACGTATGATGTACGGAAATTACCGATGGCATGATGATGTTTGACACGGACGATATGTAAGAAGGACAGGGACATATACAAACCCAATATACAGTTACATTGGCTTGTACTTCACTCAACATATTTGCGAACACCTGGCTATATCAGTGATTTTCAGCCACATAATGTTCGCCGCTATATTGCTATTTAACATTGTACGCACCATGGAGTGAGTGAGTGAGTTTAGCTTTACGCCGCTTTTAGCAATATTCCAGCACGGGGGGCACCAGATTATGCCCCATGGAATCGTTTTCAGTGGGTGTTCTTTTACGTTGATATTTTGGGGCTTTTTAACACGAAGATGTATACATTATGTGAAACATTGTACGTAACTGTCTCAAGATCCATTATCTGTCAGTACTTACCATAACATACCTTCCTTATCCATTCGCCTACAATGCTATATGCCATGGAAGAGATTTGAGATAAGCAATTGTAATTGCTATGATCAAAGCTATGTCAGTCTCACAATACGGGAAACGCTCTTTATCAGTTTCAGCTTTGGCATTGTTGACGTTGCTTAGTAATACTACTTTAGCTGAAGGGTTCACAGCCAGTGAAAATGAAACGTTAGTTTTCGGCATCTTCTAATTGTTTGTTTCTGTTTTATTTTGATTTGCTTTTGTTTGGTTTGTTTGATTAGGGGTTTTTTGGGTTTGTTGTATTATTATTATTTATTTTTTTATGCTTTTTTTTATTTTATTTCTTTCTTTTTGTGTGTGTGTGTGTGTGTGTGTGTGTGGGGGGCGGGGGGTTAGGGGTGTGTGTGAATCCTTATATGACTGTACCACTGGTTCTGTACTACATTATATTATCGTTTTCTGGTTGGCGGAGCGTTCTTCTATTATTTTCAATGTACCCCGCTGGGAATACCGAACTCATTTGGTACTTCGTAGTAGTAATTCTTTATCTCGAATAACATTGAATAACGTATGATGTACGGAAATATCCGATGTTTTGCGAATGCAATGGGAGATAACTGTAAATTTCTTTTTCTTGTCTTGTCGTCTGGAACTCTATACTATGATCCGATACCCGTGCTTCAAACAGTTCACAATTACCATTGAGTTGTTCGGTAAGATATTTACGTTGTTCAATGGTCCCCCGGGGAACATGGGTTGATGTACCCTCGATGTTCTTTATGTTCCCCTCGTCCTTCGGGCTCAGGGAACATAACCAAACATAGAGGGTACATCAGCCCATGCCCCCCTCGGGACCAGTGAACAACTTATATGCAGTAACCTATACTCAGCTGATGTCATTGCTTGTCTTGTAGAAGGGGAGAAGGTTGTGATCATCGCCGCTGCATCTGTCTTGTTTGTGGGTCTGACAATCATTTCCATTGTCTTCCTGGCAATCCGGAAACTGACAGGTGGAAATATGAATGGTAAAGTAACCTCAACCACCTTCTACCTAATGTATGCTAGTCTTATTAAGAACATATTGTGACCTTATCTGCATCCCGTTATACCAGACATAACAAATAACATAAGACTTTTGAATGTATAACAACTGTGGTAAAAGGTTTAACTCACTTGTTTTCTTTCATGTTTCTTTTTTCTTTCTTTTTTAACAATAGAAATCTTACATATCAAGACTCCTTTTGAGGACATATGTTTCAATCAGAAGCGGAAAGAAAAATGATCCATCATGTTTAGATTGGTTCACAGTCGCTGTTATGTTATATAACACGTAATGTTTATTGTTGCTTATGTTACAGAATCAAGGAAACGCAGGTAAGCATTTGAACTTGGCAGGAGACCACAGGTGGATAGATGGCTAGATACTCTATTGTGGGGGTCAATCATCGCTGTGCCCGAGTCTGCCTTTCGTCAGTGGCTGCTGTTTCTGTGCCACTGTGGCTCCCCCGTTATCATCTGGTAATGTTAAACGTGGAATGGTTGAGGTGTGGATAGGGTGATTTGGTAGGGTTACATTTTAGAGGCTCGTGAACAAACGAGACAATTGGCAAAAACGTATTACAACTATATTTTGTTGGGAAGGGAGGTTCGAATAAATAATACATTTGGTATTTAATGCCAAAAGACTATTCTTAAATCAGTCGGAAGAGGAGGATAATTTTTTATGGATGAACAACGTCTATTATTGTCGACGTTACGGTGTTGGATCTAACACCGTTTTCAAGCAAGTGATGAAACAGTAAGTGAGTGAGTTAGTATTTAACGTCACATCGGCAATATCTCAGCCCTATCGTGACGAAAACAATTCATACAGAGGGGATGAAAACATTTCGAAGAAAAAAACCTGTAGACAATGGACAGTAAAAATACTAGAATATCACATATATGAATATGGAACTAGTATGCAAAACTAAAACGTGTTTATGAAAGATCACCAAACTGGTGTTGAAACAGAATGAGGATAAAGAAGCATATGTATATTACAGTCAGATTGTGAAATCCGTCATTTCGTGAAATGACTAACAGGTTCAGTCATTTCGCTGGATAATGGTATATCAGGATCACTTAACTAAGTTTTGCCTACTGAGACCACTGACTAAAAGGCTGCTGAAGTAGCGTTACAGTAAGTTGACATTTTCTTGACGATAGGTGCCCCAGTGATCCTCCAATCTGATCATGGATCAGTGTTCACGTCTCATGTTATTAAAGAAATTCAATAAGTCTGGCCAGAACTAGCACGAGTACATGGTAAGCAACGCCATCCCCAAAGGCAAGGATCAGTTGAAAGGGCAACTGGCGACATACATGCTGGTAGTGTGGATGAGTGGTAACAAGACTAAAGACTGGCGACATCTTATTCATTTCACGAAATGACTGAAATGTTTAGTCATTTCACGAAATGACTGATTTCACAATCTGACCGTAACATACACAAGTGTGAGTACAACTGACTGACTGACTGAGTTTGGTTTTACGCCGCTTAAAGCAATATTCCAGCAACATCACGGCGGGGGACACCAGAAATGGGCTTCACACATTGTGCCCATGTGGGGATTCGAACCCGGGTCTTCGGCGTGACGAGCCAACGCTTTAACCTTTAGGCTACCCCACCGCTCCTGTGAGTACAAAGGGGTATTAGGACTGCAATAGCATATGGAAGCCGGTAACAAGAACAACACATAGCCTACGTAGATGGAAGTGTCAACTCATGAAGCCTGAAGCCCTCTTTGTATTGTACAAACATCTCCTTGTATATGTGCTTCTCTATGCCAGTTCTGTTTAATCGCTTGTTTGATAACAGTGTTGGAACCTACACCGAAACTTCGTTCTCACTGTAATAATGAAGTTAGTCTCATCCATATATTAAGGGGGCGGTGGGGTAGCCTAATGGTTAAAGCGCCGAAGACCCGGGTTCGATTCCCCACATGGGCACAATGTGTGAAGCTCATTTCTGGTGTCCCCCGCCGTGATATTGCTGGAATATTGCTAAAAGCGGCGTAAAACCATACTCACTCACTCATCCATATATTGTTATCCTTCCTTACTGCTCCAACTGCTAAATGCCTCGCATTGTCAGATAGAACATATTTCGGGTCATGTATCAGCTATGCTATATGTCATGTGTGTTGTTGGTGGGAAGCTCTGTCACGGTGGTAAACCCAATACTGACCCCATCACCCCATGTACCAGTCCCGCTGTGTTCATCACTGTTATGCTTGTTTATGTAATCTCTAATCACGTTATGTTTTTGGTTTTTTTCAGATTTAATGTTTCCGGGTTACCTGATGTAATACGAGAACCTGGATCTATCGTCACTATTGCCTGTCGGGACCTGCACGACAAAGACAAAATGGAGGCACGTTTACCCCCTGACATAGGCAATGATGCAAAGAGGATGTCCTTCTTCCTGCACAGGATGTATGTCGGAAACGGTAGGTGTTCTAATTTGTTGTTGTTGTTGGGGTGTGTGTGTGTGTTTGTGTTAAAGCGTTCGCTCGTCACGCCGAAGGCCCTGGTTCGATTTCCCACATGGGTACAATGTGTGAAGCCCGTTGCTGGTGTCCCACCTCGTGATATTGCTAGAATATTGCTAAAAGCGGCGTAAAACCCCACTCACTCACTCTAATTTGTTGAGGTATTCACAAACTCAATAATGTTTCATAAGATTTCAGGGCGATGGGGTAGCCTAGTGGTTAAAGCTTTCGCTCGTCACGCCGAGGACCTGGGTTCAATTTTTATGACTTAGCTGTGTGACATCCTTACAGATCCGTCGTCAAATTAAATATATGTGTTTTTATTCAGATGCTGATGACGAAGCACAACAATCGGATTTCATCGCATCCCGTGAAGGAGATGAATTGTTGTTATTCTAGATGCTGCATTTCTTCCCAAATCCCGCATTTATAATTATTCGTGCTTCCGTCCTGATTGTCAAACCTTGTTACAACTTCCTCGTCAAGTAGCACTTTTAAGGTATTGTATTATAACGTTAGTACACTAGCCAGTGGTAATGTAGTTCGTCTTATGTTTCCTTGAAGAGTTGACATTATTGATCTTGTATTCAGAAATATTTGTGGGTGCCATAAAACAGAGACTGATTAGAGGTATGCATATAATATTATCCCCATGGTGTTTGTTGATTTCTTTTTCGAAATTCTCATGAATATTTGCCGATTGCAGTAGAAATAGCTGAATATATTTTATTGCTTCTGGTTGTTATATGACGTAGGCTTCCATTGTTAGGGTATATA